TCTAGTGTCGGGCCCTGTTCTAAACACTGGTGATAGTATGATGCTATCAAGGAACTTACAGTCTAGTGGGATGCACAGAATTATAATACATGCAGTGACTGAGACATGCAGAAAGTACGAGGGCACAGAGTTCAGCCAAGTCTGACGAATAAAGGCTAAGCCACGGCCCGAAGGAGCCAGGGGTTAGAGACGGTCAGCGCTGGAACAGGACATTCCAGACGGAAGGATCAGCATGCACAAAAGATACTGAGGTGTGGACCAGTACAGCAAGCCTGTTCAGATAACTTAAAAATTTCACTGCGTGAGTCTAAGAGTATGTGTGGGGATAGGGGGCAGGAGGGGGCTTGTTGGAGACTGATAGGAAACGGGCTTTAACAGTCAGGGGCCAAATCATAAAGGGCATTAGATTTTACCCTGGAGGTGAATTTTAAGCAGAGAAATGGCACAACATTTACGTTTCAGAAAGATTACTTTGGTCACAGAAGGGAAGATGGACGAAAATGAAGTAATACTAAAGACTGCAACTAGCAAGAAGGCTATTATATTATAGAAACAGAGATAATGAGGGCCTGAACATGAGAAGCAACAGTGGAAATGGGGATAAGGGAACCAACTGAAAGAATATTCAGAAAGTAAAACACGTGAGAGACATCAGAGGTTCCCAGCTAACTGCCATTCCGACTCCCTGCCTGCCTTCCCCACAACTTACCATGAAGGCCTGAAAAGCCAGACACCCCTCTTCTCAGCTTCATCGTAGTCACATGTGAGTCAATTCTGGACAATCTCTTAGGAAAGGAGGGTGGCTCTGGCAAAGCCTTCCCCTTCTATTTAAATGACAGAGGTACATGAGGAGCAAGGGCCCATACACTTGTCTTTCGATCCTGCTGAATGAGGATACTGTGCCTGGAGCTATGACAGTCCCTTTACAACTATGAAGGGACAAGGTGAGAACAGAAGCCAACATGCTGAGGATAGCAGAGTGGAAATACGGAAAAGTCTTGGTCCATGACGACCCAGCTGAGCTGCTGAACTAACTGTTCAGGGACTGTTTATCTCTGGATTAAGTATCCTTTCAGTTTAAGCCACTGACTGTCAAGCTCTCTGTTACTTTCAGATAAAATTGACCAAACTAAGAGACAAGGCCTGGTAAATTGAAGGGTTTGTAATCAAGAGGAATTTCATTTTACTCCCAGGGTTCTGGCTTGGGAAACTGAGTAGAGGAAGGTGCTAGTTACCAAGACAAAATGACAACACAAGAGGTACTCGGGTTGGGAGTGGCCAGAGTAAGGGGGAAGGGTCTGAGGTGGGGAAAGGAGGAAAGGGAAAAAAAATCTGTTCCTGGACATTCTGATTTAAAGTTATTATGGAATCATGTAGGTGAAAACTATGTTTAGATGAGCCTGGAACTCTTTAACTAGATCCACAGATGTACAGGAAGTCAGACTCTGTCAGGCCTGCAGGAGCTCACGCTCTCTTGGAGAAGGCTAACGGAGGCAGGAGGATCAAAAGAATGGAGTCCAGACAAAAACTTTCTCTTTTGAAGAGTCCTAGGAAGTGTTTCTTTTCTATCACAACTCTCAGGATGTACAGATCCTATTTAAAAATAAGAAGAAACCTGTTTATGGAACGAATCTACAAACATTATCATATTATTACATTTTTTATTTTATAAAAATTCATTAGTATAATTCATCAAGATAATCTGAAAAACACAAATTCTGGATCTATGACAAATGAAGACTTTGTACTAAAGTGACTATACCAGAGACTGTCCCAGCAACTGAAACTGATTTGAATCATGAATCACATGCTTTACTATCTGTACCAGTACATTAGCAATGTGTGAATAACCTCATTCCCAAGACTGAAAATAACTCCAGGACATGTTTTATTGGCGGTAGATTACCCCACAGTACAGAGAGGAACATAATCACTGAGAAGGCAGCAAGCAATAATTGAGCAGCACTATGTGAGATTAAGTAACCTTCTGAGGGGATACTACTCCTCCATGAGAAGTCAGATGACCCTGATACGATTATTTTCATATATGTGGCAGAGTTTTGGACGTAAAAAAATGATCAGCGGCTCCCAATCTAGTGAACAGGAGAAAAACAGCTAGAGTAGGCAACAGAAAGAGGCCCAAGGGCACACAGCAAGAGGTCCCTATACACAGTGATTATAAGCACAAACCAAAGGTTGATCTTCATGCTTACAAAGTTTGGACCAGATAGATTAGCTGATGTACTGCAAAGGCAGATGACAGCAATTCTCATCAAAGGCATTTATGATGAACAGCAAGTACTACCAAAGATAAAAGGAATTTGCCCTTGACATGAAGCAAAAATGCTTCAAAAACCAAAACTGACTTGAGAAAATGAGTATAATAAATACAAACTTGTAGCTCAACCCATTGGCCTTAACTCTAAAACCTAACTCTGATCACACTGCTCCCTACCAAGAAAACTTCAAATGGTTCCCCACTCCCTACCCCGCCTCACAGATGCCCCCTCAGCCTTCACTGCAGCCCCAAACTAATAAAAGTTCTCGCTGAACTGAAAGTTTTGTCTCCCTACATGCGTCCTACATGAGTCATACTGGACCAGCTGGTTATCTCCCAAATCTAACCTGTGGGTTCCTACTCCTGCACCCCGTTCACGCTGACTGTTCTCTGCCTGCAGAAGCCCCACCAATCCCCCAAGTTCTGCCCCCTGTATCTTTCAGCAGTCTCCTCCTTCACATCTTGTCCTGCTTGTATCAAAATCATGCCATTCTGTTTTGAACTGTTATTACTGTTGCACCTCCCCTAAGATATTCTAAATTCCTTAAGAAACGATAAGTCATTCATTTTTGTGACTTTTACAGGGTCATAACTAAATAATTGTAGGTTGCTGAATTAGTGACATAAAACACAGACCAAAAGCCCTCATGAGAACCCACAAGTGCAAGTTCGTAAGAAGACTAATAATTCAGCTATTTACCATTGATTCCTATGTTCCTTCTCGTCCTGCTGATAGGAAAAAGCAATATGTAAGAAATAAATATAGGAATTATTCAGTAGAGAAGATAATGAAATAGACTGTGGTCTAGAAATTCTAGATCCTATTCGTAGTTATCTGGACAGGTTTAACCTACCCTTTTCTCTACTTGCTTCCTCTGTAACTACCTACTTGACAAAAGTGATGTGAAGATCTTTGTTAACTAGTTAATATTTTTAACATCTTTCAGAACACTCCTCCCTTTAACGTACTGGTTTGAATAGCATCTCTAGCTTTTCCTACACCACATAGCAATCATTTTTGTGAGTTATAGGATACCTGAAGTGTAAAGAAGCCCATTATATGCCAAAAAATATATTTTCAGTTTTATTTATAAAGGCAATATGCTCTCTTCCTCTACTTTCACAGATTTCTTTTAGGCTGTGAAACTGTGGCCCTCTGGTCATTGCATAATCCTAACTGATAAAGGGGTTTATAATCTAGAAGAAAAAGCACACTGTGCTCTCAAGAGCAGAATATAGCAGACGGATGGTTTGTAACAGTCTTCATGAACAAACAAGAAACCAAACTCAGATCACTGAGGGGGATGGGAGCACAGAAACATTAAAAGGGCAATAAAAATTCTTGAAACATAAAGGCATCCACAGCTATCCACAAAAAGTTTAAATCTAGACAATCAGTTTTTAACCAGTAACACAGGCCAAAGACCTCACAAAGTACCAAACTCTTCTAGAATCTCTAGTTCTGATTATTCTTCTCCGTAACTTTTTCTATCGTGTTCCACGTTTCTCAGGATAGTAACCTACCTTCCCTTCACCTCCCAAGTTTATACGTGAACTCAGCTGAGACTCACGTCCCCAGCAGTCTCTATGCTTTTCCGACCTAATTCCCAGATTGGTATGGGAATTCCTTCCTACTCAAGATGTTACTCTGTAAATTAAAAAACTTAAAAACAATGCAAGGGAATAAACAGGTAAGATAAGTGAATGAGAACCAAGGTTCCTGACCTCTAGTACTTCTGCTCATCTGAATCTTTAAACCAACAAAAACAATGATGGAGACTTTTTCACTTGTCAATCCATTTTACAAGAAATTTTAAACACTGCAGGTAGAGGTAACCCCTTATAAAACCAAAACTAATCAACCAAAAGCAAACAAACCTAAGCATGCATCTGACTGCAACAGTAATTCTGTACTGGGTTATCTCAACTGCAATTACAAGGCAAACCAATCTTTGGACTCGATTCTATGTGCCTGCAGTACTCCAAAGTTATATGACATAATAAACAAGTTCGTCCCGTCCTCTCCAGTGGTCACGTCAGATACCTGTTGCATCACTCTGAAGGTGGTCTCCAGAATCTAGGAAAGGAGCGGAGCACCACTATGATTCCTAAATAATTAAGCTGGGCTATTTTCTGGATAAATTTTAGCCTCATTCATTTTAATGAGGTTGCCTTGTAGGCAAGGGTGTGTTGGCTCCTGTTCATCTTTGGCTTCGACAAGCGGTGACTTTCTGGACTTAGAGGGGCTTGGGAGTTTTTGAAGACTTGGGCACCATTAAGAGAGATGTATGGCTCGACAGAAGAAGAGACAGACGGGAGAGCAGGCAATCGGAGCGGGAGAAACGGGGCAGCCCCGCAGTCCAGGTGGAGTGGGAAGTCCGAACCACGATGAAAGCTTGGCGGAAAGGACACTGCTCGTCCGCCGGACGGTCGGGCCCAGCCCAGGGTCCGGGCCAAGTTGGGACAAGCGAGAGGTTCAAGGAGAACCGAGTCTTGCAAAGTCCTGGGGCAGCCCGGGCGACGCTAACACGCGCGCGGACGTTTACGGGGATTAAAAAAAAAAAACTCCCCTCCCCCCACCCCGAAGAACTAAGCGGGAGGCGGCGACGCGAGGCAGGGAACCCGCGGGGCCGGGTCCGAGCCGACCCGC